TATTGGTGAGTATGCTACATACCAGATTAGTTCTCATTTCTTCCTTTTCAATGGAATATGTACTTTAGCCTAAGAACGATAAAAAACAGCTTTCTTTTTTAGCTGTCTCAACTCATTCTAACCTCATTCCTAGCTTTGCCTAACTTCTTAGTTTATTTTGGCTGCAAAATACTGCCCACTTTTTATCTTTATAAAAATGTATTTTTCTTTTGGTGAGGGAGAAAAATGCAAGCTAACTCATACTTATTTTGGATTATCCCCCCCCCCCCCATTATTTTCCTAACCCCTTGAGCTCTGTTCAAGCCTCTGCCAGTCTTTAAAAAAAAAAAGTTGGTTGAGTTTGAGGATAACTGAAGCACTTATGTAGGAGTGGTTTGTGAAATGTGGGAGATGTCTGCTGAATTCTCTGTCAAGGCATCATTCAGTAGCAGCTTACTGGTGATAACAGATTACTGTTGATGTCTTTACTGTTCTGGGAAAGTTGTAGGTTCAGAAGGAGCAGTTAAGAGTTTACTTCAGAATAGAAATGAGGAAAAACTTTGTTACTTGTAAAAGACCTAGGTGAATGTAAGCCTCATTATATGACTCGATTTTCATTTACTTTGCTTTGTAAAATTGGACTTTATTAAGCTATTAGAAGGCAAAAAAAAAAAAAAAAGGATCTATGATCCTGCCAATGTTGCCACAGACTGATCTCTGTCACCTAGAATCATGTTATTCTAAAAGAGCAGCAAACTATTGCGAGAGAGGCTCTGGGCAGATTTCTGACAGTTTTGATTCCTTTTTTTATTGATTTAAGAGAGAGAGGAAAGAAGAGAGGAAGGGAGAGTGAAAGAGAAAGAAACATGGATATGAGAGAGAAACATTGATCGGTTGCCTCCTGCACACACCCCAAGTGGGCATCGAACCTAGATATGTGCCCTGACCGGGAATTGAACCGTGACCTCCTGGTTTATAGTTTGATGCTCAGCCACTGAGCCACACCGGCTGGGCAGCAGTGGGCACTTTAGTTTTCCTTCCCTTCCTTCATTTATAGGTGGAAGAATACAATGAGATTATACCTGTCTTAGGAAAGTTATGGCTAGCTACCTAGTCAGTTCATGAGCTCCTTGGCCTTTGTTTTGGTCTGAACCGAATTCTGGGCACTTCTTGATCATCCCTTGATATTATTAGCTAAGCTTCCTAAACACAGGAATGTTTGTTAGACCAGATCTGGAGTGGTTGCTTTAAAACCAGGTTCTCACTGAATTGTTAAGCATTTGGAAATTCCCTGTGAAGGAGAAAGAACACCCAACAAAGCCGTTCATATTCATGGTGCTCTGTGCCCATCCTTTATATATTCAGCAGTTACTGTGGCTGAACCAGTTTGCGCCTCCAGAAGAACCAGCCCAGAGCTCTCTAACCTTCCCTTCATCACAGCCAACACCTTTCTTTTTTTTTTTTTTTTTAAATATATTTTATTGATTTTTTACAGAGAGGAAGAGAGAGGGACAGAGAGTTAGAAACATCGATCAGCTGCCTCCTGCACACCTCCCACTGGGGATGTGCCCGCAACCCAGGTACATGCCCTTGGCCGGAATCTAACCCGGGACCTTTCAGTCCACAGGCCGACGCTCTATCCACTGAGCCAAACCGGTCAGGGCGACAGCCAACACCTTTCATCTCCTCCCTGTGGCCTTTTCTTTTGCCCAGCTGGTTTATAGGTTACAGATTTGTCTTATACAACTTTAGCTTCATATTTATTGGGCCTATTTCTGTTTTGCAGGTGAAACATTTTCTTAATGTAAATGTCTCTTTTCCTGGAATTTATGTATGTGCTCTAAATGCTGCTGTTATGGTGACCGACCACGTTGTAAACTCATGGATCCTACCCAGGAAGGCCCTGACTTTGATACTGAAGAGAGGGCTGATGCCAAGTCCTAAGCAGCAGTTGTCATCCAGATAAAAGAGGTTTCTTCTGATTCACAGGGAGAAGTTGTTCTGCTACTGCATAAGCCAGTCTTTTCTTTTACCAGCTTTCACTTACCTTGAGGCCAGTGAGGTACCAGAAAGGGAGGGGAGATGCTAAGCAGTCACAAAGGTGTCATCAGGGTGATGCATCAAAACTCCTTTCTCAGAGCCATTTAATTTTGCCACGTGTGCAATTTGAAGAAGCTTGCTTGTCTCTTTTCCTAGCTTCTAACAAAGTGATCATGGCAGTTCCAAAGGCAAGGAGTAAATCTTGGGGTGGCTTAATTTAAAAATTTTTAAATTGAAAAATTAAAAACAAAACAAAACACCATAAATGTAGAATGGTTTAAATAGTGCAAATGGATATTCTTATTTTTTTGAGCGGTATATTCTTTTTATTTTTTGAGTCTCTTTAATGAAAAACTTTCATGTGAAATGTATCGCACATTTTGTCCAAATTATCAAAAATCCAAATTACGTGTATCATAATTTTTTTATCAGGTTCCTAAGGTGGCTGTAGCGAAATACCACAAAACTGGGTGGTTTAGAGCAATAATAATGTGTTGTCTCGTGGTTACGGAGATGAGAAGTCCCTAGCGAGGGGGTCAGTGGGGCTCTTTCTTCCTCTTAAACTTGTAGGGGCAGAGCCTTCCCTGCCTCCTGGCTTCTTGCGTTCGCGGGCGCCCTTGGTGTCATTGGCTTGCACATGCACCGCTCCAGTCTCCGCCTGTGTTGTCACATGCCAGTTCCTCTCTGTGTGTTCTTTATACATTCTGGATGCAAATCTTTGATCAGATACTTGACTTGCAAATATTTTCTCTGAGCCTCTGGCTTGTCTTTTCCTTTTCTTTATAGTGTGTTCAGTTTTAGCTCTTCTGTTTATGTCTCTGATTCACTTCTGGGTTAATTTTGATGTGTGGTGCGACCCAAGAGTGTTGTGTGTGTGTTTAACAAAATTACTTATTTTTTATTTAACGTGCGGGTATCCACTTGTTCTGTCATTTGTTGAAAAGACTCTTAGAAGTTCTGTTCCTTTAAGCTCCGTTATTATTACTACGGCTCAGTCTTGGATATGCTAATGACAGAAGCCGCCCTTCTCTGAGTTGGGAGAGCAGAAAAGGTTTGTCTTGGGTCTTAGCCTGATTGTACCATCGTTTGCTTTGCTTGGTTCTGACTCTATTAAGACATCCAGAGTCTTTGTAAACAGTGAGTAGAGTTTTAGCTAGCTTATCTTCTTTTTTTTAAAGTACATTTTTATTGATTTCAGAGAAGCTGGGAGAGGCAAAGAGAGACAGAAACATCAATAATGAGAGAGAATCATTGATCAGCTGCCTTCTGCATGCCCCCTCTGGGGATCGAGCCCGCAACCTGGCATGTGCCCCACCGGCCATCGAACTGTGACCTCCTGGCTCATAGGTTGATGCTCAACCACTGAGACACACCAGCCAGTTTGTCTTTAGTTAGGACATTGCTCTGTTATCTTACCCGTCTGAGGGTGATTATAAAACCTTATTTTAACACATAGTTTTGGCCAGATAAGTCTGGAATAGTGTAAGCTAACTTGAACATTTGTTAAAAATAGTTCTAACACCAGATGATAAAACCCTTCTTAAAACATTTTCTTTTCTTTTTCCAAACAATTATTTCTAACCATAAAAGTAAACTGTTTATTACAAAACCTTTTTGAAATTACCAAAGTATAAAGGAAAACTTTTCTTGCCCCATCACTGCCATCCTGATTTTGTCACAGGAGTGCTTTTAATTTTGTGTGATTGGTATATGGACTCCGGACAGCATAGTTCCTTGGAACAATATTTGGATTTACTGATGGATTCAGGCCTGTTTTCTTGCATGAAGAGAAAGGTTAGGTGCAAATATTTGATATCTATTGTAAGCCAGGCTTTACTTTACAAAGCTGTATGAATGAGCTTTACAATTATATTAAAATCCCATTTAAAACATTTCCCTTTCTCCATCCTCCCTACCTCCCCCTTTCTCTTTTATAGGCTTGAGTTAAATAAATTGCATACTGTCATTCAGCTAGTCAGTGATAATCTGAAAATCGGGGGGAAAACTTAAGCATCTTTTGGTTAAAATCATTACCCCGTGTTTTCTTTCATGGTTTGAAAGGCTTTAAAAAAGAAAGGATCAAGTAGTTCTCTTTTTCTTTTTTTCTGGCTCATGTGGCCTCTCTTTTATTCTCTATCAAAACTAGAAGTTCCAAGATCCCCTCAGGTCTTGCTCACATTAAGGCTGTTTCTCTTCTCCTTTCTGTGCTGTGCTTTCCACTTTGAGAGCCTTAGTTTTTAACTTTGGTGCTTGTTAGCTGAATAGAAGATAAAGAGGAGACTTTTTAACAATGAAAAGTCCTTCAATCGGATTGATTTCATCATCAATTTTAATTTATTGAGCACCAACTAATAACTAGTTGTGGATGACTAGGCAAACCACTCAGTTTCTTCATGGCTGAATGAACTGGCACTCCACAAAGACCTCTCTGTGGTTTACCAGCATCCCTAACTTCTGTCGTTAGTGGAACTGTGTTGTTACGGTCAGAAGTATCTGCCATGGGGAACAGTATTTAACAACCTCTGTCTTCCTCTGCGTACCCTTAAATCACCAAACTATTTGCAGTTGAGTGAGTACGTAAGAAGCATCCATCATAATGCACTTCTCTTTTTATATAAACAGAGGGTGTGTGTGTGTGTGTGTGTAGGATATTTGTGATCTTGGTGTCTAGCTTTTCTTCCTCCTCCCTTTAGGACTTGTGTTGACAGTGACGGCCTTCCTGACAGCCAGAACTTCCCATTGACAGCCCTCACTTTATCCAATAGCGTGGCTTAAGCTAATCTGTTGCTTATGCTGTTGCCATAGCATCCTGTCTGGAAACAGAAAGGTGGATGATATGTTTGTACAGGAATCCAGATTTCTTTTCCCCTCCCTCGTTGACATTTGCCAGCAGAAATTTTGTTCTTACTGATCCAGGTTAAGGCTTGAGGGTATAATGAGTGCAAAGGGAGGTGGAATGTTTGGACTCGGGACAGTTAAAAAGAAGAGTTCTTTATATTAACCTAACCTCTCTGTTAATCACTAACCTGTTTTGTTCAGTGATTCCGGGCTGTCCACTGAAGCCAACTCCTTGTTATATAAATTGCATTTATTCCTGATGAATGTTTTGTCGGGGCTGAACATTAGGACTCAGGCTAGAGGTGGAGCTTTTTGCTGCTACACCAACGCATTAAAACAGAAAACCAAAAGTCACAGGTTCCCGTGACCATCTTAACATATTTGGGCCAGTTAATCAGCCTGCAGGATGCTACACGGTGTGGAAAAGAAGCCCTAAAAGAAATGACAAGTGAGTTATTTTCATCCCTCTTACTCTAATAGTGCCGATAAACCTTTGACTTGGTTGCAAAAGAAACCCACACGGGAACAAGAAGTTGTTTATAAAATGAAATCTTTACTTTGCATTGATTGTTATTTTTGCTTTCACTTGTTCAGAAAAATTGGAAAGAAGAGCTATTAGTGGTTGAGTGAAATAGTAACAAACAAAACATAATCCTTTTAGGGTGTCTAGGAGGGACTACAGAATCCATCTTAATCTTTTTCAGGAGACCTGGCCACATAGATGACAATTCACTTAAAACTCAGTGAGGCTGCCCGGCTGGTGTGGTTTGGTGGTTGAGCGTCGAGCTATGAACCAGGAAGTCATGTTTCGATTCCAGGTCAGGGCTCATGTGGGCTTGATCCCTAGTAGGAGGCAGTGATTCTCATTATTGATGATTCTGTCTCTCTCTTCCTCTCCCTTCTTCTCTGAAATAAATAAAAACATAAAAAAGGAAATGCTCAGTGAGGCTCCCACCAGGGTTCCAGCAACACTCCCTGTGTGTGGATTTTGTTGTTGGCCTTCTAGTTCCCTTGTTGGATCTCTTCCTGCCTGGAGCCTTTCTCTCCTGTCACCACAGACGCTAACTCTTTGTATGGTACAGTCATCACAGCTGGTTTGAAAACTGCTTTAACAGCTGAGGAAATTAAGGTAGGGAGAATTTGCTCAAGCTCATGTATATTGTTTTTCCATTTAATGTCTTCTCCTAAAATATGACTTATTCCCCCCCCCCCCCCCAAAATATGTAAGACTTCACGTGACTCTTTTCCCTCATCCCCTATAGGCTGGCTCAGAGAGCCCTTATTCTCCGATCTCGGAAAGTACTGGGGCATTATCTGAGCAGACAGTTCTTTGGAATGAACCTCCTTGGGGTTATTTACAGGTTTGAAAGGTGGGAGATAATTTAAGGAATATTTAGTTAGCACAGCGTGTCGGCCTTGCTTTTGAGACCCCTCGGATACCAGGGACATGTGATCGCCTCGCCACTCTGCACCGAGAGAGCGCACAGTGAGAGCTGCAGGCCGAGAGGCACCCCCGGGAGTCAGCCCAGAGAACACCGACTGGTATGTTCTAGCTTTGAAACCAGAAACATAAACTGGTACATGGTAGGATTTTGATGGATCCTTGAAGGAAGATGATTGTTGTTTAGGATACCTGTGTCCTGAAATATCATTTAATTCTCTTCCTACCTGCTTGTCATATGGAAGCGTATGTAGCAGTGTGCTGTGATGAGGATTCACTGACTTGCGTCTTCCTTTGGGCTCCCATAGGCGGTTATTTACCTTTATGATAGTCCTTACCTGTGCGGTGACTTGGGGAGAATGAGTTCATTAATGAAATTCAATCTATTGCTGAGATTAAGCCAGGGATGCCGAGGGCCCGAAGTTATTTGTATTTGTCTCATTGGAATGGCACTGCCCATGACGATTTTCCTGTTGAGTATTTTGACTTAGTTGTGCAAGTGCCGTGACTGGTGAGCAGCCTGCTGCTGTTGGCGTTGTGAAGGCAGCAGGCAGTAATTGGGGGCTGGGGAGTTTGGCCTTATTGTGGAAAGCAAGGGGTCCATGGAAGGGTCTGATCAGAGAATTGACACACAAATCACATCCACATCGGGGGCGAGTTGAACCTTGTGATAACGTGGAGGACAGGTTGTGCTCCGAGGCTGGGAGGACAGCAGGGAAGCCACAGTCTAAGGGAGGTGAGGGCTTGGGCCATTGGGACAGACCAGGAGACACTGTAGAGGTAGAATAAACAAGGTTTGTTGAGGTACAAGTAGGAGGTTAAGGAGAAGGGAATAGTTGCATGAGAGCTTGAAGGGAGACCATTAATGAGGATGAAGGACAGAATGAGAGGGTAGAAGATGCAGGGGGTGCAGAACATGCCAGGAGCAACCTGCATATAGATGATAGTTGAAACTGAGGGAATGGGAGGAAAAAATGGCTGTTGGGTGTGAGGGCTATCCAGAGATAAGTTGCCTAGGTTGTCTGGCTAGGTAAACATGACTTTCCTTTTTCTTAAAAAAAAAAAAAAAAAATATATATATATATATATATATATATGTGTGTGTGTGTGTGTGTGTGTGCGCGCGCGCATATACATATATGTATTGATTTCAGAGAGCAAGGGAGAAGGAGAGAAACATCAAAGATGAGAGAAAATCATTGATTGACTGCCTTCCGCATGCCCCCCTCTGGACCTACAACCCAGGCATGTGCCCTGACTGGGAATCAAACTGTGACCTCATGGTTCATAGGCCTATGCTTAACCACTGAGCCCCCCCAGTGGGGCGTAAACATGCCTTTTCTTCGTTCCCACTTTGCTCAACCCTTCCTAAAGCTTTGGGCTCTGATGAAGAGAATTTAATTTAAAATCCATCACATCGGTTAATCATTAGAACTTTCCAGAAAGGGTCAAAGAAGTAAAAGTAATACGTTATGTTGGAAAAACCTGCCTTGGCAATGGTGGGGGATTGGATAGTCAGGGTTTGAGTCCTATTCAATTCCACCAGCGAGCAAGTTCCTTCTTAGGGCCTCATTGTCCTTTTCTGTGAGATAAAGGGGCCTGCAACTCTATCGGTAACATTTCCTTTTAGCTTTGATACTGTCATTCCTAGAAACAGGACTCGAGAGATAGTGTATCCTAGCAATAAGTGCAGAAAACAAAGAAGGACTTTTAAAGATTAAAGTAAGATAATTGGTGTTTTAACATTTTTACGGTATTAGAGAATGTCGTACTAGCTTACTTATTTAGTACAAGAAAGAAGATGGTTTTGGGAAAGGATATGGTGCTAGAAGCAGAAATCCAGTATGTAACCCACTCTAGTTTTGGGGGGACTATTCCTGGTAAATTTAGCGTGTGGGTATTTTGAGGTCTGCCAAAAAACTGGAGTGTGTGATAGTCACTCACCTTTAGCGAAGTTTTAGAGTAGTTTTCATGAAAACAGTTTTCTATTGCTCAGCTGGAATTTTTCAGAAATTTAAGTAGAGCTTTCATCACTGTATACTACTAATCTGTTTATTAGTTCATGTGTTGTTCATTATACAAACGTGATTTTTTAAAAATAAAAATCTAATCATGACCCCTACTTTTTAAAATTTATTTTTTTGTTAATTCTCACCTGAGGATATTTTTTCCATTGCTTTTCAGAGAGAGTGTGAGGATGGGAAGGAGGGAGACAGACAGACACCGATGTGAGAGAGACACATCGACCGGTTGCCTCCTGCACTCGCCCTGACTCGGGGCAGGTAGCAAACCTCAACCTTAGCGTTACGTGCCCTTGACGGAATTGAACCCGTGACCCTTTGGTGCACGGCCAACGCTCTGACCGCTGGGAAACACTGGACTCAGCATTGTCTCTACTGTGTCTGGTATGTCTCCTCGCACGTGATAGGAACTCTGTGATTATATGTTAAATGACTGTGTGAACTTTAGGTAAGTAGCGGTCATAGAAGTACCATTCTAATACGTAAAATTGTGTGGCCCAGATAGAAATAATCATCGTTCTGTAATAAAGGCAGAGAAATGGAGTTGTGGAATAGTGTAGACAGATGACATTGAACCTTGTTGGATAATGTTATTGTAGACTGTGCATGTTGGTCATACTCTTGGAAATGGAAGTCAGGTAAATGAGATTCCTTTTTTGTTTTGGAGCAAAGTCAGTGCCAAATCAAACAGCGTGTGGGAAGGCTTGAGCCGTGGTTCCCGTGACTTCACTGGGTTTTGGTGTGCTGCTCACTTGACAGGACTTTATGTTCCTGATCCTGCTTTCTGAACTGTAAGGAAAAATGGGGAAGGGGTGAGCCAAAACAAGGGTGTGCAGTCAGAAAATGACAAGCCCTGCTTTGCTTTTTAAAATAATAAGAGCTCTTCAACAAAATGAAAACGGTATGGACCTGGGTTTCATTCTTAACTCTCTTAAAACAGCTTTGTTGCAATATAATTCATATACCATGTAATTCACCTATTTAAAGCATACAGTTCAATGGCTTTTAGTATATTCAGAGTTCTTTACAGCCCCCACAGTAATTTTACATTATCATCACCCTTGTCTCCCCCCACCCCCACCCCAGCATCATCTTGACCAAGCATTTAATAACTGTTTTATCTTGAATTAACTCACCTAAGCTATCTGAATGAAGCTCACTCACTCATTTTTTCATTTGGACTCCTAACAGCCATCAAAAAATTGAGCTAGATTATCCCCTTCTTTGACCCATAACCTTAATTTCTCTTGTTGACAGAGGAGAGAAGGTTGGCTACCAAAAGCCACAGGTCTTTCTGCTTATGCCAATATGGCAGGTTTCTTCTGTCTTCTCTCCGTTCACTTGGGTGTTTTGGCCTGAGTCCTGGGTGTTGATGTAGAAATGTTGGATTCATTTGTATCCGCATTAAATTTCATTTTGACACATTTAGCCTCTCATGTATATGCTTTTAGCCATTCAGGGATTTTGGATCTTCAGTCTGACTTTCAATCTATTAATATTTTTTAATGAATCTCAGATAGTCTGTATATATAATCATTTGCAAAGTGTTCATCGGAATTGGTCAGAGGTGCGGTGGGGGAGAGTTGCATTTGCCTCTGATAGAAACCTTGTTTCTTAGAGGCATTCATCAGTTATTAATTTTGCTTTGTTGTTGAAACTATTATAGGGTTGGGATGGCAATTGTGAGGTTTGGGGCATATTCTCTTCCTCCTGTATTGCTTCCCCAATTCCTAGAACAACAATATGCTTTAACCTAGAAGCATATACTGTGGCTTTAGAAGCACAAACGAAAGCATGTGTTGGGGGAGAGAGAATTTTGATCATGCTAAAATCTAAATTTCAGTCATATATCTAGGGCTACCATTCTTTCTTTAAAAAAATATATTGATTTTTTTACAGAGAGGAATGGAGAGGGATAGAGAGTTGGAAACATTGATGAGAGAAAAACATCGATCAGCTGCCTCCTGCACATTCCCTACTGGGGAT